GAACTGCCGTAAGAGGTAAACCCACAGAGACAGAAAGCAGGTAACTGGGGTCGGGGGAGCGATGGCTTACCGGCACGAGGTTTCCATGTGCAATGATGAACAGTGTGATGGCTACATAACACTGTCAACGTACTAAATACCTCTAAATTATATACTTAATGGATAAAGATTACGTATGTGAATTTTATCTCACGAAAAAAACCAACAGTATGAAGTTTCTATACATCTCTCATCCGGTTTCCTTTAATGTGAACATCTCAAATAACCACAGTCCAACGATCAAAACCAGGACGTTCACACTGGTAGACTACTATAAATCACTGAAGGAAGGGGCGCTGAGGCCACCCCCACAAGCCCTCAGCAGGAGACAGCCCTCCAGGGTGAAAGGCATCCCACCCATCAAGGCCCCACCCAGATCAGCTCCCTGCAGAAGGCCTCTGCTCTGCTGTTTGCCTGTAACACCTTTTTCTACTAATAGCACTTGGGTTTGCATTCAAATCACTCGAGACTGTAAGTTCCTCTAGACACCCAGATTATAGGTATTTGTACCCACGATGCCTAACCAGGACCTGGCCCCCAAATACTAGCTGACCTGAACCACAGTCCTAAGTGGCCTCTCCTGTTCTTCTAACTAACAAATCCTAGTTAGAATTTGCTATTTTGTTTTTCATAGTACTACGTTCTAGTCCATATGGAAGCATAGACATGTCATCTCTGAAGAGCAATTTAAGGCTAATTAAGTCCAACTTAATTGTCTGCACAGCATCCAATTGACTGGGTAGCAAACAAGGTTTATTTGTGAACTTAGTTTTGACGTGTTTTGAAAGCAGGGAGAAACAATTCACTAATTTGTTCTTGGCAGGTGGAATCTGGGAAAAAGGATAAGCGTTTGCCACAAGAAAATTTTCTCTACACAGAGGGTCTTGTCTTCTACAAATAGTAACTTCTTCCCAATAACCTTCCTTTATACGCTTTTTCCCACAATCTGGGCCTTATCCATAACCTAAACAAGACAGTAAAGGCAAAACCAAGCAGTATTCATGTAACCTAATTTTATTATTTTAACCAAAACCCCATAATAGATGGTTATGGTAAGAAAATATTAAAATAGAGAAACTGTATTTAGCATTTGTTGTAAGGTAATTCATGCTACACAAGGTTAGAAATGCTTAAAATAGTTCCAGTTAGGTTCGATTTAATAATTGCTGGTTCACTTTTGAAGATAGTCCATTTATTCATTGTTCTTTAAATTCTAAGCACTAAAGTATTTTTAATTTCTAATAAAATAATCAGACTCAGGCTAGAGATTCTATGACAAGTTTAACCCAATGTCATTGCAGAAGAGTTTCCTAATACTCTTAACACACTGTAATTATAGGCCAAAAGTGAGTTAAAAACCACAAGCTTTTACAAAGTTGGGCTCCATGAGGTGAATCATGTGGCTGCCTTCAATTTCTACAGGAAAAGTTATTGGTTTTGTTCCCTGTAGAATTTTTTTATAGATTTGCTCTGAAACGAGTTATAACTAGAATTTTGGAAAACCTCAAATAACTTGTGATTTTTTTTTTGCAGGAATTATTTGACAAAAATAGACATTTCATATGAAGAACTCAGAACAGTGATAAAACGAAAAGTCATAGAGATAGACTATGGGCCAAGTTCAGCATAAAGATGTGTTTTATGTGACCCATAAATTGTTTACAATTTTTTGAATTCACTGGTAAAACTTAAATAAAAATAAAAAATCAGTTTTCACATAAAAATCTGGATTTCCAGCTTCTCTGGAAATATCTGAAGGCCTGGCAACCAACTGGGCCTCCTCAGACGGAGCGCGCGTCCGGACACAGCTGAAGTCCCCACCTCCAGCAGCGGCTGCGCTGGTTTTGGTTCCTCTCTTGGCCCCTTCAGACATGTGGCTTTGCAACTGCTAACAAAACACCAACTGTAATCTCGCTTTCTTGAACATTTCAAATCGGTGTTCAAGTTCATCATAGCCCTGTAACTGTGATGCTTGCTGCCCATATTCTGACGTTACGTGTGAACGAACATCTCTTAAAAGGCAGTTTTATGTTTTATGCGCAGTGTTTTTATCTATTATCTATTATCTATCACAGGTGGGGTTGGGGAGGGGAAAGGCTGTTGTTTCTTTCTGTACTGCATTTTAAGATGGTTGAGAATTGAATATATATATATAGAGAGAGAGTTGTCTAAATTAGACTGTTTAAAATTTTATAGTTCAAAATAAAATCCATTTCTCCTTCTACCTTTAACGCTGTTCTTTGCACACATCACAGTTTTTCAATAAGAAGAAGCAGATACTGTATTTTTCAAGCGACTATACTCGCAAAAGCTATAATCTTCTCATGTACATGCTCAATTCCATTTGAAGGCCAAGGCCACAAATACAAACTGCTCTGACTACAAAGAAAGAAACAGCAGAGATGAAAGAGTGGGCAGTTAGTTCTGAGCCATATTGAGTCAATTCGCTGACATTTCTTGACCTCTGTGGAAAATTCCAGTTATTAGCTTCCCCCCACAGGAAACATAATTATGTCAAGGTGTTCTAATTTGTGGGCTTCACCCTTAATCTCAAAGAACAGCATTTATCATAGAATAAATTTAAATCTAATTAATGTCAACTGCAGGTTTTGGTTGCCTACGGCAACTCCTCTTTCAGATGACTGCTAATCCACCCACTTTTCAATGATCTGCCTATGCTGAATTGCCATTATTT